ATTGTAATATTTGGTTTTAGCTACAATATCCCACGTGATAATGGCTGTATTACCACCATTCTTTAATTGGTAGAAATGTTTGGAGAGAGCCGTTCTATTTAATGCATCTTCGATGATGATAAAAACAAGATTATCAAGGATTGTCAGTGGACCTAATATAAAATTTGACATCCCTATTAGAATGCATGCTAACTCCGTATACATTATGTTAAGCAGATATTTTTATTAAAATTTATTTTATGTAAAGGCCAGTCTCTACTGAGCACCTGGAGATTGTGTTGTGCAAGAAATTCCGAGTTGTGCTACCGTTGAAGAAAAAAATACACACACACACACACACACATATATATATATATATATATATATATATATATATATATATATATATATATTATTATTATATTATATTATTATTATAAGAGATTAAAATAAAAACATATTTAAATCACGATGTATTTCTATTAAATCAGACATTTCTCTTTACTATACATATTTAGATATGTATCTGTGTACAGTTAATTATATGAAAAGTATGTTTATTCATTAGTTTGAAATGCAATAAATTAAAAATTTGTACGTGCACGAATATTTGTTTCCCGCCAGTCTGTGTATATGTATATATATATATATATAAGTGAACATTGAAGTCAACACTTAGAGGCGACAGTCTGTTTCATGCTAGACGCAATTGTTGCGTTCGTGCACAAGAAAAACTAAATAAAAAGCTTAATCGCAGTATCTTGTCTGTCGTCTTTAATTATATATATATAATATAATATATAGGAATTAATTTTTCTTATGTTTTTCGATTCTAAATATTCCCGATATTAGGCATTCCCTTTTTTTGTGAGTTAGTGACTCAAATGTCTCCCTTGAACTGGCAGTGAAAAAGTTCTGTGTTCTTAGATCTATTTTCATTTTTTTTGTGTTATTGTTAGCATGCGTATGCATACGCACACTTCCTCTCCATACATCACTTTTTCAGGGAAATAGGTTCCTGAAGTCCCGTAGCTGTTAGCGCTCATTTCAAAACTGTTGGGGTTTCCTTCTTATTCTTTTATTTGAGGTAGTATAGAACGTCATCAACTTGATCAAGCTATTATTTTCTCTTCGAGTTGCATGTGATTATCTATTCTAGCAGTTAATGCCAAGTGAAAGTGTTTCTGTTATCTGATTGAATTCTTTGTTCGTGATTCTGTAGCATCAGTCCACAAGGTTCAAAGGAGTGTGGTTTTCGCCAAGACATTCAAGCTTCACTAGCTCAAAGCCATTTTTACCATTGATCTTAGAATGCGTTTGTATAGATATATGATGCACACTTACAATCTTGTATAGCAAAAGTTATCTATCTGTCCAGCTCGGTTTTATGTATGTAAATTTCTTCATATCCGGATGTAAACGACGCACATATCCCCGGTTTAGTCTCTCTGTATATATATATATATATATATATAATATTTGGGTATTTACCAAAGTCAGAAGTTTACCTAACAAATCTCGAAGGCCATTCTGATTATTCTAATATAATCATGACTGGATCATTGTGGCTTTGGGCTTAGTAAATAGTGTAGCAATATCGGTTGTCAGTTGATATAGTGTTAAAGAAAACATTAGAAAGATGTCGCAGAAATTGTTCCGACATTTATTGTCTTAAATGTCAGCTAAATGAAAGCGGATCTCACAAGTAACACGTCAAACGACGCTGACAAAGTGGGGTCAGCAAAGTGATTCGATGAATGACTTTTTTGATCGAAAGCTGACAGGACAAAGAATGCTAGTTATCTATAAGATGGTGGTCCCTTGCAGCCTAAAAGACAAAGGCCGCTCGATCGCTACGCGAAAAGGAAAGCACGCCTATTAGACCGTTCGGCCCACCTCACCTCGATCCACTTTGTCTAGCTCTAGATTAGAAGAGAAGGTTACAACGGAATAAAAATCTGCCAACTGCTACAATTTCGTCTCATGTTTTTATTTCGCGGGTAACTATCTGGCCAAAGAGTTATTTTTCCATGTATTAAGTCAGAAGCAGTCGACTGGTAGAAGCTTCACCCTGAGTATAAAACTGGTATCTGGTTTGAGCTGTAACACTACAGTATCTGTACACTATTGAAAGTACGTAAGCGGACATGACTCTCCAAACTTCATTTTTTAATAATTGTAAATTGCACATTGCCATAAAGCATAGCTAGGATAGATAGTGAAGAAGTACTCGTTGCCTTATACATGGTTTTGCATTTAGATTTATTGTTTTGAACTGGTTGCGAACCAAGGCTAGTAGGATCAGTTTGCTTTGCTATTTTATCTACAGCTGAGATTTCAGTCTAAATGGAAGCCAAAAATCATCTTCTCCAGAGAGACTGCATCGACGCATACAAACTTTTAAATAACTGGAAAGCAAAATCAATTTTCTTCATTTCTCACACACACACACACACACACACACACGCACATACGCACAAGGTTCTTTCTATAATTGTCTGTAATTTTCATGTGAAATCAATGAAATCCATAGAGATACGTGCTACGATTCTAACTTTGCCTATCCGCCACTGTCTGCCAAAGACAAACTCCATTTGAGCAAATGTTTTGCATTTGCGCACGAACAGCGTCAGATACTGCAATATAAATACATGTGTCTGTGTTCATTTAGTTCTCTCTCTCTACCACCACTCTCTTCCTATTTTCTCTCTCTCTCTCTCTCTCTCTATATATATATATATATATATATATATATATATGTGTGTGTGTGTGTGTGTGTGTGTGTGTGTGTGTGTGTGTGTGTTCATATATATTATTCGTAAAGTTTCGTGGGATTATATGTACACTTCTGGAAACTTGGTTACAAGTTTGGATTTTATGTTCAGAAATTATATTTACTTTAAAAGACGTTATTTTATGACGTAAAATCATTTGAATTTATCCGGTTATACGTATTTGCCTATTATTATTATAATTGGAAGTTAGATATTAAAGCAACATTTAAGGAGAAATATATGTATAGCCAATTACAGGGATCTGTATAAAACTTTCATTTATCTATGATTATTATTATTACTATTAGTATTATTGTTATTATTATTATTAGTAGTAGTAGTAGTAGCAGCAGTAATGTTCTTCGTATCGAGTACTATAATTACAGAGAATGGTTGCCTAAAAACCATAATCTTTTAGAGACACACGAGTTTTGGGGATAAATACAATCTTTGTTGTTGGCATATATATATATATATATAGTCTTAAGATGTGCTATATTTATGGGATAAAGTGCTCGATATCAGAGATAGAGCGTGTCTAAATATAAAAGTGAACATTGAAGTCAACACTTAAAGGCGACAGGCTGTTTCATGCTAGACGCAATCGTCAGAAGTGGCAATTGATATATATATATATATATATATATATATATATAAATTTCCACTTCTGAACTTTACAAACGACTTCTTTTCTATCTATCTATCTTAGTCGGTTTATATTTATCTATATCAGTCTGTTTCTGCTTATCTATTTCTTCTCACGATTTTTCTATCTATCTATCTGATGTAATGAATATGCATACCCCTGAGTTCCCTCACAGTAATATGATTGGCTGGTGTCAGCCATAAATACAGACTAAGCTGGAGGTACAGGGACGATGCCTATTGCCTACGCCTATTGCCTACCACTACGACGAGCACCAGTCCATTATGGTTACCTGCTAGATTGTTCTACCCGGTTAAAGTAGTCAACAACCACTTTGCCACTTCGAACAAATATATCCCTTTCCGGGACCTATCACTATCTATCTATCTAGCTAGCTAGCTAGCTATCTTGATGCCGGCGCTTTTATTTAATACACAAAATACCCATAATGATCCATTGTTGTGTGAGATCATTCCTTAATTTCCGGCTTGTTCCTACGTACACAATGTATGTTACATTATGCACCAATCAACTAGGATCAAACTGCCAGACCTCCACGTAAAAAAAAAAAAAATCTCAAATTTGTGGTAAGCATTTGCCCAAGTTAAAGTTACATTATATTTTATCTTAGTGGACAAATAAGCAGACATCATCCATCCGTCTAGATGTATGACACGAAATATGCGTTCGTTTTTAGAAAGAATCGTAGAAAAGTCATTAGGTTTCATCAGATAACGCATAAAATTAGCACCAAAACCTAGAGCTTTATTTTCCCGGTGGTAAAATCTATTTTCTTTATTCTTGTAGGTGTTTAATACAAACCTTGCTTCTATTAAACTTCTTGAGACTTATTACTTACTAGCAGTAGAGCCCGGCGTTGCCCGGGGATGTAACAGTAAGAGATAGATCAAGTATCGACCATCATAAAAACTGAAAAATAAAATTGACAAAGATTATTGTTTAAGGTTGACGGACACGCATGTCTTAATTAGTTTTTTTTTGTTTTTTTACGAATTGGTCAAACCCAAACTCAAGCAAAAACATTGTTTTCAATCGTTATGAGTCTATCTATTGAATAGAATTTTATTATAAACAATTGTCTTGTAAATGGAATTTTTAAAGCATTCTGAAAGTAAAAATAAAGAAAAAGTGTGTAAGACGATAAGAAACACTACCTGCCAAAAACAAGTGAAGTTTTGTTGAAATCGGTTGAAAAATGTAGCAAATCCGATCCCATATATAAACGAACACACACACACACACACAAACAACCTGGGTTTTATAATAAGTATAACTCGATATGAGTTGTCCCCTTTTCATTCTGATGACAGAATCGTGTTTTATCGTGTTTTCAAATTGGTTTCGTGCAAAAACAATTGTGTTTTTTCGAATTTTTGACGCTGTCAGAACCACCGCAAGGTAATTTTACGTAGCCTTGTGAAGTTTTGTTGAAATCGGTTGAAAAATGTAGGAAATCCGATCCAATATATAAACGTACAGACACACACACACACACACACACACAATCTGCTTTTTATAATAAGTAAGATCTTTGCCTTAAGAATCGATTGACATCGTATATCGTCATATCACGGGCAGGCTTACGGACATATCACGTTGAAACACCGGTTCTCCTACAAAGAAAGAAGTTAAGCCCCGCTGAGCCTGGTAAGTATATAGATGGGCGACTTCTTGGGAATATCAGATGCTGAAAGCTTGGATGTGCGGGTGTTGTAATGGATAAGGGTTTGAAATTCGAAAATCTAGAGCTGAGTTTCAATTCCAGTCGGGTTCGTTATATTCACTTCCGGGCAAATACCTTTGAGAAAAGTATGAATCCACGTTTTCTCCACCCACATCCTTGGTTATCTGTCAATTAGTAGTACTTGTATCAGATAACAAATAAAAGAAAAAACGTAAATGTTTAGAGTAAGGTATACATACTAGGAAACAAAAAAAAGGGTTAAATTTAAGAACGTTAAATTACCTCCATTGAAACTGCTATCCACCGAAAAAGAAAGAAAAGCCAGTCCCTACCGTGGACCATTTAAAAGACAGTCCGATCAGCGGATTGGTTGTTATAAACATCCAGTCGGGTGTGCGGAATATGTGATCTATCTACGTCTAATTCATTAAAAAGGCCAAACAATCTGTTAGCGTTTGATTGTGAGGAGGAATCATTGAATTCCTTTGATTGGGTCGACTTGGTGGTGGGGTGTTTGATATTGAAAGACCCGAAACTCCCTGATGAACCAAGTCAACGTACATCACTGACGACTTCCTCCGGTACCTACTTAAGAGCGTACATTTGAAGTAGTAAAATCATTATTATCTCAAATATTTCCAACAACCTAAAAAAATATATATCCGGGTTTTAAATAACTTGCAAAAGGTTAACAAGATTTAAAACGCAAATCAATCAACCATGTCATAGACATCTTATAATGTTGAGAACAAACATCCATATTTGGTTTTAATCTATATCCAATTTTAGTGACTTTTGCCAGAGTCAAACTTACAGCGATTTGTCGACGAGAAGGTCTTTTTCGTCATGTCAAGTAATTCTTCCAATCGCAATGGACCATTTCATCAGTGCGCATGTCCGATCCGATTTTAAAATATATTCATCTTACGAAATCGTGGCTTTTATTCCGCTTTTCTCTACCAGGAATTTCGAAATTAAATTAATTAAAAGAGGAAAAAAACGAAACCGAAAGGAGATTTCAGACCTGTGTTGCGTGACATCACGCGAGACTTGGTTCCCGGACAAGCGCACCTGTTTGCTCTAATATCAATTTTTATTCAAAGGCTTACTGCGAAGCCAGTTCAAAATGAACAGAATTAAAAGAAAGAAATATGATGGAAATATAAGCGACAAAACAAAAGAAAAAGACTAAAAAAAAAGATGATAGAAAATAGAAAGAGATTTTTTATTAAAAAAAGGGGGAGAAAAAGAAGAAAATTTGCTAAGTAGCGTAAGGAAAAGGAAAAAGATGAATAAACAAGAAGAAATTGTGAATTGAAATAATAAGTAAAAAAGAATAATGAAGAGAAGAAAAAGAAGTAAAGTGGTAGAGAAAAAGAAAGAAAATTGAAATTTAAAATTTCATTGAAATCATAGAAGAATTAATAAAATATTTGAAAAAAGCAAAGAAAGAAAGAAAGAAAGAAAGAAAGAAAGAAAGAATAAAATGGAGAAAAAATAAAGATTAAAAAATGATTGTAGAAAAGCGAAAATGATTTTTACTAAAAGGAAAAGGAGAAAAAATGAGAAATAAATAAAGACTGGAAAATGAAAGACTTGGAAACGAAAATTTAAAGAAAAGAAAAGAAAAGAAAAAAATGAATATTAAAAGATAGAAATGTTGTAGAGAAGCAAATAAAAATATCGTTTAAAATGTCATTAAAAGCACAGGAAAATTCATAAAAAAAATAATACATAAGAGGTTTTCATAAACAAAGAGAAAGAAAGAATGAAAGGAAGAAAAACGAGCAAGATGAACAAAGAGAAGGCCATCATAGAAAGAAAAAAAAGATAGAAAGAAAGAAAGAAAGAAAGAAAGAAAGAGCAAGATGAACAAAAAGAAAGAATTCTAAGAAAGAAATAAAGTATAACAGACTGACGAAAAGAAGGACAGAACTAGATGTTTAAAAGAAAGAAAGAAAGGAAGAAAGAAAGAAAGAAAGAACGAAAGAAAGAAATAACGAAAGAAAGGAAGAAATAACGAAAGAAAGGAACGAAGACAGAAAGAATAAAATGGGGAAAAATAAAGAATTCATTTAAACAAAGAAAGAAAGAGCAAGAGGAAATATTAAGAAAGAAAAGTAGATAATCAGACTAAGAACCATCGAGAAAAGATTTTTATTTTACTAAAAAGAAAATGACAAAAAAAATGTTCATAATCTCTTCTAAGCGCTTTTGCCTTTCATAGACCATTCTGAAATAAGCTCTGTGCGTTGATAGGGTGGGGTATATAGGCCTGCATAGTGTTTCATGGCTGATATTCGAGAGTAGCGTCGGTGCATACAGTGTTTTACTTTGTTTTGTGTTTTTACTTTTCATGCATCGCGTCTTCATACATTAGTTTGTGGTGTTTTGTTTTTTTATTGATTGTTGGGGTTTGTGTTTTTGTAAATTTTTATAGTTAAGGTTTTATAGCATTTGTAATCGTTTTTTATAGTTTAAACTTTAGTTTGTTAGATTTATTTTTTGTGTTAGTTGGCATTATGCGATTTAATTGACTTAGTATCAGATAAATGACAACTTAACTGTCGTGATAATGTAGAGATTCTGTCACCAAGACAGTTTACAAGTGGCCAAGCGAACTTATAAACAACATTAATTTGTTGCAGTATATATATATATATATATATATATATATATATATATATATTTCATATATATATATGAATAAATAAAAAAAGGGAAAAGACGAAAGTGAGTAAATAATTTTGACATTTTATGCAATTAATATTTAAATTATTTTAGTATGGGATACGGATAGATAGATAGATAGATAGATAGATAGATAGTTTTTCCTTCCACTTGTGCTGTTAGACGTCGCGGGGAGACACAGTCGTCTGTCAGCGGCAAGGCGAGTGGCCTGCAGGAGAGATATCTCGTGGGCTCTGAGAGTGTCTGCCACTGAGTTGCTCCAGCTTCTTCTTCGTCAGCCTCTCGCTCTCCAGCCAGAGTACCTGAGGGTGTATGCTCGTAGGGCTGATTGGTTGATAGGCATACATGTGACGTGTCCGAACCACTTGCTTCTCTGTCGTTCGACATATTGTATGATTGGTATTGCACCTACCATATCTCTTATTACCTCATTCCTGATTTTGTCTCGCCTGGTCTTGTTCACTGCTTTCCTCGGTCATTTCATCTCACAAGTGATCAATTTCCTCTCAAGGGCTTTTGTTAGGGGCTATGTCTGGCTCTAGTATATCACTGTTGGTCGGAAAATGGCGTTGATGAACTTGGTCTTAGTGCTCATGGAAGTGCTAGGATGTTTTAGATGAGGAGCAATTTAGTAACTGACTGCGTTGACTTTCTGACATCTGGTTTCGATCTCTCTGTCTAGTTTGCCGTTTTCAGTAAATAGGCTGCCCAGATATTTGAATTGGTTTTATTCTGTAACAAGTATTTATAAACAAAAATAAATTGGGTTGTTAGGTTTTCATTTTTTTTTTTTTTCTTAAATCTGAAAAGTTGACGCAAATTCTGAAGATTAACTAATTTAATGTCTAAAAAGAACGAAGGTTATTTAATAAATTATGAAGGATGTTAATATGATATATAATTTAATGTCTAATAAACGAACGAATATATGTTATTTATATATATATATATATATATATATATATATATATATATATTATCTGATGCTGGCCAAAACTAGTCGAGGAACTTAATTTATATAATAAAGCAAAAAAATATTAACATACAACCCAATCTGACTGAAATTTTAATTTTTTAACATTTTTTTTATTATTCAAGACATTTTGATGGCAATGGAGAAGTAAACCGACTTCCTCCCTCCGTCAAGTTGAAGTAAGACATAGAGCAAGGCTGTTTTGGTCAGCCCTGCTCCCTTCGGCAGACAGATGAGTTCTCCAGCAGAACTAACGGTCGGCAATGCCTAGAACAGTTAAGATGCTAATGCGAGGCATTTGTCTAATGCCACCATCATACTACTTCGACTTTACATAGGATTAGGTGCTAGTCTAACCAAAGACTACTCGACGGCAGTATAGTGCAATAATCCAGGGATGACAATGATGAGAAAGATGAGTCAAAGTCATGTTTGATGGAGCGAAAGTGGTAACATCACGTATGAGTTTTATGTGTCTTCGTCGAGTACGACCAACACTTGATGGTGATGATGGTGATGTGGAAAAGACAGAAAAATAGTAATCTTAATTTAGCTTAATATTCAGGAAAATCAGAAAGAGACAGGACAACAGCTGAAACCTTTTTTGATAATTTATAACTACAACGTAAATGGAAAATTACTCAAATGCACCGTTCAACATTTTTAACAAGGATAATATACTGATTCACCAAGCGAAGCTTATATCTGACACAAGGTCAAAAGTGTGGAGTGTCCAGGGAGGATCGAACTCATTACTCAGTCGTAAATGATCTAACGAACTTGATAACTATTACACCACGAAAAATTAATTATTGTTTAAGCTTGGCTTAGGTGTGGCACAAGATCGAATGAGTGAAGCGCTCACTGAGGATCAAACTCTACTCTGTCGAAGTGAAGTGTCTAATTAACAAGGATGTAAATGAATTTACAAATTCAAGCATTATAACTTTAGTCGGTCTGAAAAAAATGTTAATGTTCACCCAATACAAGTCCCAAGAGCCACTCAAGGTAGATGGTTACTGTGTGGTATCGTATGACCATAAGAAATGGCAAGAAGTGAAGTTCTTGAAACTATGCAGGAAAGTTAACGTGGGAGACATTAGAACTATAGAGTAGAAGGAACCAGAAACCCAATCCTAAAGAGGAAAACAAAGGATAAACGTCTACTGTTCAAAAACAAGGGAGGAGTGTGAACAGGATGGTAGACGAACCTATTTACTTCTGTTGGGAGAAAAGAAAGAAATAATTAGTGGATAAAATTTCAAAGATTAGTTAGAGACGTTAGAAGTATAGAATAGAAGTAGACTGTAAAAGGAACCGGAAACCTAATCCTAAACAGGAAACA